GAGTGTGTGTGTGTGTGTGTGTGTGTGACAGTATCACAGCACTAACACGTCTTTCTCTTCTCACTCGACTTCTCTGCAGCTTTAACCTCATTTGAAGGATTCCAGCAGCAGGTTTGGATGTGTCAGAGTTTCCAGACGGCCTTTAAACGCATCATGATGTAAGCGGCTGCACTGACGGGGAATATAACACCTGAGCAGGTGTGCTGCTGCTGCTGCTGCCAACAGGATGTCCTGCTGCTCCCAGCGAGGAGCTGCTGGACGATAAAACTCAAAGTCATGACAGCAGCAGCTGGTTTATTCTCCATTACTCATTTATATTAATTTATAACAGGGACCCTGAACACATCACACATCTATTCATTCCCACTATGATTCATAACAGCTTCATTTACACTGAATGACACCATATGACAGCTTTATCTATCAGATTATACAGAGAATGATTTCTATTCAGGTTTCTATTATTAAATCTAATCTGATAATCAGGTCAGATTCTGCTTTTCACATCAAGAGACTTTTATCAGGTCAAATGTAAATAAAAGAAGTGAGGAGGTTTCAGGTTTCAGGCTGGGTGTGCCTGGGTCAAAGGTCACTGTGTGTCCTCTCCTGCTGCAGGGATCAGGAAGAAGGAAGAGGAGGAGGAAGATGGACGTGTCTGTGCTCAGAGAAGAGTATCTGAGCTCCAGAGAGAGGAGGAGGAGGCACACTCAGGTGCTGCTGTTCAGGACAGGTGAGAGGAAACGCCGTCTGATCCACTTCCTGTTTGACTTTGGACAACATCTTTAAACTTAGTAAAAATCCATCTGTCAGGTTAACTGATAGAAATGAGACTTGTTCCTTCACAATAAAAGCATGTCAGACATGCAGAGACTGTGCTGGATCCTTTGTGAACGTGTTTTAATCACTTATTTCAGTAAAAGTAGCAGTACTACAAAGTAAAAGTACTATAAAGTAAAAGTACTCTGTTAACACCATTTTCCTGATGTGAGAAACACAAATTTGCTTCTTCTGCTGTTGTAAAATATGAGCTTTTATTTTGAAGGTGAAACTTCCTGCTGTTGCTCTGGCTGATCTGACTGTTGGAGGTTTTTCTTCTTTCTAAAGTGAACTCACAGGATCTGATGGCTGTGTTTTTATTTTCATCATATTCAGTTTCTGTTTCTAACAGGTGAGTCTCAGGTGAGTCTCAGGTGCGTCAATGGGGCCACAAGTCGAGTGCAGGAGCTGCAGTGTGGAGCCGGTTGAGCCTTTGCTTTACTGCAGTCAGACTGCAGAGGGCGCTGTGTCTCTGAACTTTACCTGCTGCTCACCTGGATGAAATCACCTGAGAGCTGAAATCTGCTGTGCGCCACCTTTCATGAGTTCAGGTGTTTCTTATTAAAGCAGCACAAACAGAAACACTGATCAGTGATCAATAATTTGAAAGGAAGAATCTTTAATAACTGAGTGTTCAGAGTCAAACATGTTTCACAGACAAATATTCACATCTGAGCGTCACAGATTAGAAACCATTCATCCTCTTTCAGATTATTACTTCCTGTCAGCTGATCCTTTGGGTCCTGGTCTCTCTCTGATGATTGGACGCTCGTGTTGGCTGTGGGCAGGTCAGGATTCCTCACGTTCTGATTTCCGTCTTTAGTCTCGGAGGAGCTGTCCGAGGCAGTCGCCATCGTCCCCGCCCCTCAGGGTCTGACGTTACCATGGCCACCACCCGTGATCTTTGACCCCGACCCCTGGCACGTCCACCTGGACCTGCACCGGCGCTCCTGCCCAGAGACATCCAGCAGGTGAGTTCCTCTCTGTCAGAGCTCCAGCACAGCAGGAGGTCTTCATCATGTCCGCCTGAGAGGTCTTCATCCCTGCTGGGAGGAACCCGCCTGCACGCTCTGGAGGAACATGGAAGGAGGTTCAGTGTTATCACGCCTCCTCACAGCTGTCCTCACAGTTTGCTCTCTCTGATGATGGTGAAGCTTCAGTTTGTACAAATATCTTCCCGTGCTGTTGTTTTCCTCTGCAGACGCTCCGGCTCGTCCTCCTCGGAGGTCGGCGGCTCGCAGCACGAGTCCAGATACAGGAGACTCTCGGCTCCTCCGAGCAGCTCCTCAGAAACGCCTCCATGCTGCTCCTTAAGCGCCACACGAGAAGAGGAAGATCCAGACCCTCCATCCTTCAGGGGCTCCAGGGGGGACCTGGCGTTTCCGGACTACTCTCTGGGCTTGACGGAAAGCTCCACCCCTATCACCACCAGCCTGCAACAGGACCAGCAGGAGAACCGGTCTACACAGAAGGAGACCAGTAACAGCGTCCCAGAGGGGAGGAGCTCCAGGACGCTCAGGTTTACCAGGCAGCAGAGCGTGGGGGGGGCATCCTCACACTCCCAGGTCTACTACCCGTTCCCCAGCAGGAAGACGCCGAGGATCTCTGAGGCCGCCAAGAGGCTGGGGATGTACTCGAGCTTCTGAGGAGGACCGGATTCAGCAGCAGGTCGTACACGTGGAGCCTCAAAGGGATCAATACGCGATCGATCGATACCTGAACCGATTAATACATGAACTGAGTTTTTCTGAGTTTTTAAGGAGCAAAAGTTTGATGGTCCATCCTTCCCTGAGCTTCACAGAGGAGCTCTCATCATCATCATCATCATCACCTGTGACGTCTCGCTGGTTATAAAGAGTTCATGTTAGCGGCTCGGTCGTACATGAAGGTTCAACAGCATCATTTGAATCTGTCAGCAGACCTTCAGCTCTGTTATTATTCTGCATCAAAACGTGTTTCTGGATGAACGAATCTTATGGAAATGTAGGAAAATAAAAACGTCTCAACATGAAAACTGAGAAAATTACAATAAACGCTTAAAAATAGATCTTTGATTTTTTCTTAATTTCACTTTTCGCTTTAAAAATAGTTTTTACTTCTAATCATAATTTTCTTTTATTTTGTATCACGTACTCTTTTAAATTTTATTTAGTCTATAATATAATTTCATACATTGTTTACTTTATTTTGAATTGATTTGTATTTTATTATGTACATTTTTAATATTTTTGATCAAATTTTGTTATGCTTTTTTATTTTTTCCAGCAAGAGAAACCAAACACATGTTCACGAACTCGTTCACTTTATTTCAGACTGTACACTAAAAATTACACATGAATAACTAACGCTACCTGGATCCAGGTGATGAAGCAGTGGGAGGGGCTTCAGTCAGAAACGTCACAGACATGTCAGGCCTGTCACGAGTGAAAAGAAGACTGAAAAACTTTGGGATGTTAAACTTTGCTCTGCAGGACCCTGCTGGCACTAACGTGGACGTTCTTCAGCCGATCACTCTCATCTCAGATTTTTGGAGCTTAAAATGCGACACAGTCACGGCTCGCTGGCTGTTTCATCATTTTAGCTTCTTTTCTGTTTCACTACTGGTGGACTGAGCAAATCTGCTCGCCCATATAAAATCATACGCTGCTGTGTTAATGCTATCCTCCAATCAGGCTTTGACATGATGATGATGTCGTTGATCCAATCAGGCTGAAGTCGAAGCGAGCAGCCCATCTTCAGGTGGCTGAGGGTTCCTGTGATGACTCTGATCTTCTTTCAGGTAAACAGGTGTAAAAGTCAAACTCAAAGCTGGCTTCAGTAGAAAATGGCGGTCGCGGGATTTCACTGATGGCGGTTTGAGGCTCAGCTGTGGCTCTTCTGCACAACTCTCTCCTCCAATTGCGCGTAGCGCTTCAGCAGCTCGTCGTACATCTGAAACAAAACAGAAGAAGAAATCCTGAGCTCGCCTCTGCTTCCTGACCTGACAGAGAGGGCGGGGCTATATCTGAGACATCACAGACACTTTTCAAACACGCTGCATGTCTGCACCTTAATCTCAGCGCTTAGAGGCCATCTTGGAAACACTTGTGGGAGGCTGTCTCAGGTGTGATGAGTCCGTGTGTGTCAGTGAGTGAGCAGCAAGTGAGTTTAATGAGTGTTCACAGGTTTGTTTGATGGAAACTGACTTACAGGAACGTGGAGGAACTCTGAACGGGACAAGAGCCTGCACTGCAAAAACTCAAAATCTTGTACCAACCTTGTGATCTTGAACCAAGTGTATTTGTCTTATTTCTAGTCAAAATAATCTCATCACATTTAAAATGAGACACAATCAACTACTGAGTAACATTTCAGTAAGATTTAGGAACATGTTCTTAGAAAGGGCATCTTGAAACTACATCATTTTCATTTGTTCCACTGGCAGATTTTTTTCACTTAATACAAAATTTTTTTGCTTGGAATAAGTGAAAAAGTCTGCCAATCAGCTACTCAGTGGCTGATTGTGTCTTATTTTAAGTGTGATGAGATTATTTTGATTAGAAATAAGACAAATGTCCTTGGTAAGACTGAGTTTGTTCAGTGTGTTCTTTGCACTCATCTGCTCCAGCGTCCTGCAGGTTGTTTTAGACCTGATTCATACAGCAACACAGAGCTCAAACACACTGCAGCTGAAGAAAATAGCAGCAAACAGAAAAATGCTGCAGAAGCTCACAGAGACCAACACGGGGGTTTCATTTAGGTGACGGACCAGCTGCAGCAGTGACAGGAAGTAAAACATGTGAAGGACTGAGACATGTTTAAAAGAAGCGGAGGATTCATCAGGTAACGTGTGTTTGAATCACATGACACATAAAATCCAGCAGGTATGTGTTTACGATTAGCTGTTTACTGTTAGTGTGTTACATGTGCAGCTGGTCCGTCACCTTAATGTCTCACCAGAAACACTGGTGTTGGTCTCTGCTGGAGAGCAGAAAGTATTTCTGTGGTTATGAGGGCACGTTTCATGAAGCTCCTGCCTCAGAGACCTGCTGCACGGTTCAGCTTCAGAGGCCAGCAACGCATCATCATACAGTGGCCGCCTCACCTCCTTCGCCTTCGGATGCGGGGTGGCGACCAGTCGTGGTTCTGGTGCTTTCTTCACCACATCAACGAAGGACGCTCCGGATTCTGCCACCAGGCCTGAAACCAGACATCGACCAATCAGAGGCTTCTTACAGCCATATTTCACAAACACCTGAAGCAGAATTCACCGATCTGCCTTTTTCCTGTTCTGACGACAGACGGTCTCACTGCAGGCTGTGAATCAGTCATGTCACCATGTTTTTCTGTTTGTAGACATAGTTTCTCCCTTTTTCATGGACCTGAGTGTAATGTTTAGTCAGAGCGGTCTGACAAAGTAAAGAAATTGCCTGAGTTTAAGAACTTGGCCCAAATATTTTTATTCATGTGAAAGGAAATCAAAAAATATAGAACCCTGTTTCCATTTCCACAGACCAATGAGCAAGGTGTCACAGCCATCTCCATCAGGGCTGCCACCAGAGTACTGCAGGTCATCGGGCTGAGACCAAGTATACAGTCTGCATATATGCAGCTGAGCTGAGACTCCACAGACATCTCATGATACCATAGTATTGTGAATTAACATTTTCTTTATCGCTTTGTCAACATCTGCATTATCCAATCACATAAAGTTATCTCACGTCAGTTATTAACAGACTGCAAGTAACTGCCAACTAGATCACATTCAGCCTGCTAACAGCTGCTAACAGCTGCTAACAGCTGCTAACAGTCTGCTTCCTCTCCTTTGTTCCTTTACTTTTATGTCCTCTCCTTCTCTTCTCTCTTCAAACTGAAACTCTCTAAGAGCTCAGAGACGAGGCAGTCTAGTGCGGGTTTTTCAAAATAAAAGCTGTGAGCACACTGACCGTGCAGAGCTCTGTAGGCTGAACCCAAACAAGTGGAGTCGGACAGGTCGATGGTGTAGACCGGAGCGTTGAACACGTCAGACAGCACCTATGGAGGAGACCACAGGAAGTGACTCTTCTCCCTCTGAAACTCACAAAAATGCTGCTGCTTTGATGACATCATTATGGCTATGTCCATCTTTTACATACAGTCTATGCATGTGGGTGCTAATAAAGCCTCAGACAGACCTGCAGGATCTCTTTATTCGATGACGCTCCTCCCGTCGCCAGAACTCTGGTTCCTGGAACTGAAAACACAAAATGTCCTCCCAGCTGAGACTTAAAGGACATTCAAGGTTTATCTAAGGAGGACGACGGCTTTACCGTCACCTCAGTCACAGTTACAGCGCTCTGGCTCAGAATCAGAACCAGTGTAAAGACTTCTGTATGAAACGAGGGCTCAGGTTTAAAACATGTAATCAGAGCTGAGCGTGATCCACGAGTTTCCTCACACAGTAAAATCAAACAACAAATGGAAGCGTGTGAGGTCTGAGGAGGTCTTACTGATGGAGTATCCCAGTCTCTCAGCATGAAGCCGTCTGGACAGGAACTGACCCTCCACCACAGCCCGAACCTCCACCTGAGGACTCAGCGAGGACACCTGCAGGTGGGACACATAAAACAGGTTTAACAGGTGGGACAGGTGTGTCACAGTCTGGGTGTTAATAGATGGAAACATGATAAATGTTGGTGCACAGACCTCACAGTCAGCAGAGTCAAAGCGATGAACACCAATCACAGGAGGCGTGATCTCCATAGTTTCAAAATAAAAGCCTGAAAACACACATCACAAGGAATCAGACAGAGGAGGCAAGGAAGGAAGGAAGGTAAGGAAAAAGAAAGGAACTGAAGCAAGGACAGGAAATAATGAGGTGAAATGAACATCACCGATGTTTCCATGGTTTCCGAGCGGCGTGTCCCTCAAAGCTGCTGAGAAAAGTTCCCATGATGCTCCAGCACACTCGTTCCTGACGCGCTCCCTCGTCAGAGACCCGTTCTTGAAGCTGCTGATGACAAAACACCTGAAACACTGCAGCCTGTCTCTGGCTCCACCCCCTTTCCTAACCAACATGGCGGACGCATCGAGGAGTCTGGTTCCCTCTGACTTTCTTGACATCATTGAACCCTCACTTCACAGCTCACCTGTTTGTTTGTGCGTG